TTCTAATTGAATTATAATAAAATTTTAAGAAAATACTTAAAATCTTTAATTAAATTCTAAATAAATTCTAAATAAATTCTAAATTAATTAATTAAATTTTAATCAAGATTTAAATAAATTTAAAAAAATCCAAATGAAATCTTAACCAAATTTTAAAGAAAAGCTTAAGAAATATTAAGTAAATTCTATAGCAGATAAATAACCTCAATAATTATTAATTCAATATTTAATCTTCATTCAAATTCTTTACACTTCTAAATCTACTGATTAAAAAATATACACACATACACATACACGCAAAATTTTAAAAAGATTAAACTTTAAAATTATAAAAACCTTTACTTACTTATTAAGACTCTAACTCTTTTGAATTATAATTATTTTTTATTTGACTATCTAACTAAGTATAATTTCACAACACATATTCAATACAACTATGTTTAAAAAATTTCAAATTTTCATCTATAGATCTACTATAAAACTCACACAATTTACCAAAATCTAATCCCTTTTTTATTCTCTAAAAATAAATTACTTAAAGAAGATCTTAACTTTGTAAAGTTCTTACAAAATTAATAGCTACTTAAATATAGAAAAATTAATATTCAAAGAAACTATTTCAATTTTTTCTTTGATCTTGCTCTTCAATTAACAAAAAAATAATTTAACATGCCATAGGCATGCACTTTTGTGCTTCAAGATCTAATTTTAATCTTAATTTACCACTAATTAACTCCAAGTACCAATCTAAGGTATTAGTAATGAATACTACCAAATAATTTTTATTGAATAAATACATAGTTATAATAAAATTTTGAGATACAAAATCTTTCAAATCTATTAAATTAAAATAAATGCACCTGTATTATTATTTTAATTTATATAAAAATAGAAAATTATTTTATTTTTTATTATTCATATATAATCTAATATTAAAAAAATATTATATTTAAATATAGAAATATTATATTTAAATATAAAAATAATTTAAAATATATGGCAAATGAATTGTATATCTAATACATATAATTTAAAATAGTAGGCAATATAAACAATAAGCTTTATTTTAAGAGATGATTGCAAGTCTTAAGCCAAAGGCTTACATACAAAGGATATCAGATGTACCAATAGTAGTGGCTATTAATATAAGTTGAATTACAATTAAGCTTTCATCTTATGGTAATGCTTCACACAATATGAACTAACTTTGTTTGTTGATGTCATCCTATAAATGAATGATATACACAGGAAAAGATGCTTCATTTATTTCTAATACTTACTCTCAAAGACACTCTAATCTTGTGAAGAATGTCAAGTGAGAGAATTTTTTTTCGAGTCATTGTAAGATCTTTGTTCACATTTGCAACATCTAGGAATAGTACTTTATTAATGCAATAATATTTTTTATATTATTTTATATTCTATGATCTAATTTTTAAGCTTCTTCTTTTTTTTTATGTTATAGTAGAAGATATTATTCCTTGATATTTAGTTTTTTGCAAGTATTGTTCAAAAGATTTTCACCTTAATTCTATATCATATATGTGCTTACTTAAGTTTGTTTTGCACTTGAACTTCAATTCTTTAAAGGGCAAGATTGAGCATCAAGTTGTCTCATTGTTTTGATTGACCAAAGAATTTGATTATAACCCTATTTCTTCAACTCTCATATCTCTACTTCCTAATAGTTTAGTTCTAGATAGGATTTTTTCAGATTGTTTGCCATTAAAAATTCATTTGTAATGTTTAAGATTCAAGGTTTAAATTAGCTTTAGAAGCAACTAATTGAGTTATCCAATAAGTAGCTTATATTAGATTTTGTGAAGATTGATTCACTTGGCTATATTAATTAGATTCAAGTTGAGGATTAGAGATTGTTAGATGTTATGAAAAGATTATATATATAGAAGTTAAGGACTTTGAAACACTTCTAAGAGAGATGTTCAATTTCAAAAAATTTATTGTTCTTCCATTCACATGTTCCATTGAGTGCTCCAATTGTTTCTTATTTGATAGCAAGTTGTGCAACAACAAAAAATTCATTTTCAAATCATGATATTTGGAATAAGTGTTGGTAATGTTATTATGATCTAATTAAAGCTTGTGCTTGCAATAATTAAATTCTTAGAATACTTGATTGATTTTTTAGTGGCTGCTAAATTTCAATAGAAATTATGAATATAATTGATATTAGCTAATTTCTTCCAAAAAGCCACTATGATAAAATGCGATTAAAGGTTTAATGAAAACATTGGCATGTTATGAAGATATGAAAATATAGCTAACTTTTATATCTCTTGTAGTAGTTTTTTTCCAAATAAAATATTATTATTGTTCTAAGTGCTTTACTCTTGCTTATAAAACTTGGGTTTTTTATTAGCTTAATGTAGCTCTAGTTTTTGTTCTTTAGTAGCATTGAATCTCTTTTACAAATCTCTAATTCCTTCAACAGTCTCCTAGGTGTATTATTTTATAAGATGCTTTGGTAAAGACTCAATATTTAGTCTTTGTCATAGAGAGTGCAATTGTCAATTATTTCTTGCTACACCAATCTAAAGATGAGCCTTCTAGCTTATACAAAATTCTCAAGGTTGATTTTTTGATATCTCTGTCATGAGCAAAGACAACATCTATATATGAGGTTAGGAGATTTTTGTATTTGTACTTGTAGAATAGTGCATAATCTAATATTTTCTTGATACAGTAAAATATATTATGCTTAATGTTTACATAAGATTTTTACAATCATTTGACATATCTTTTTTGTTAGGCTCATTTTAACAAGTTGTATTTTTCTATTTTTTTTTTCTTTTTAGAAGTTTCATCAAGTAGTCGTGTAGGTAAACATTGTCATAATATGGATCATTTAATAGTTAAATGATAGGCATTCATGTGCATTATGCCTATCTTAAGTATACAATTAGATTGTTGTTAGTGATTTGTTGTTTTTGTCTATTTACTTGTTTGTTATTATAGTTCATGTATTTGTTTTTATTTATATAATTATTTAATTTATGTACTTATTTTTTATTTTAATTTATATATTTTTTTATTTATTAGTAAGGGACTAATCATAAGATTGATTAATAAAGTGGGCAGATTTTGGGTCTTGGAAGAAACTCTATTGTAATTGATTGAAGTCTTTGATTAGAACAAGATATTAGAACATTATTTAGAAGAAGTATATTTACTTCTATACTATGTTTTGAGAACAAAAACTAATTAAATTGAGGAGAAAGGAAGTGCTAAAATAGAGGGGGTCTAGTAAGATTGCTAGTCAAGGATATCAACTTTGAGGGGTCATAACTTAATGTTTATGAGAGCTACAGTTATAAAACTTTTAATTTAGTTGTGTTATTAAGTCAAAAATCTATTCACTAAGTTTCAAGGAATTATGAAATTTGATTTAAGATATATGTATAAAAGAATAACTACAGGTAACATTTTGAGGAACAAGTAATGACCAATAAGTTAGCTAAGTTAGCTTAGGTGATTTATTTGCTAAAAATGATTTAAATTATTAATCACTTTAAAATTTAGAATGCAAAAAAGAGATAAAATACATGATATATTGCAAAAAATTCAAATCATCCTCTTGATTTAACTTTGAGTTTTATAAGTCCATAGTGAAGTAGGTCCAAAGGAGAAGATAGAATCTAACTAAAACATATATAAACAACAAAGACCTCCATAATAAGAAGTTTTGTACTTTTCCAGACTAACTACAAACTTCTTAAGAACATAGATTCTTTAAACCATGTAAGTTAGTGTAGCTCCTAAATATAATATTATTCTATCTAAGTTTGTCATTTTAATTTTTTTTTGAGTTAAACCTCTATTTTTTTGATTTCTTTGTAGTTGTCACTAATTACTATTAAGTCACCAACATACAAGAGAACTACTATATACTTTTGATTTTTGATAGAAAAATACAAGTTTGGACTAGATGCACTCTTCTTTAGCTTTAACTCCTTTGTGAGATAGTTGTCAATTTGGCTATCTTAGGCACCATGTGCCTATCATAACTCATACATTGCTTTCTTCAATTTAGCAACCTTTTCTTCTAATTTCTTTCCTTTGAAGCCATGTGGGATAGTTATTTATACTTCTTCTTCAAATTATACTCTTTTGTGTAGCTAATGAAATGGTTGTACAAATGGTGCTCCAACAAACCACATAAGTAAAAGTCTCATAAAAATCCTCTCCTTCAACCTGCTCAAAAACCATGTGCAACAACCCTTGCCTTGTATTTGATATTTTTTCTTTTTGCATTTCTTTTTGTTTTGAAAATCTATTTTGCTTTTCCTTTGGATAAATTAGTTATCTCCTAAGTTTCATTTTTGTATATTAAGCTCACTTCTTCTGCTATTGCTTTCCTTCATTCTTTGCTAATGACTTTTGTTCTATAGCTCGTAGGATCTTTATCATCACCAAGCTTAGCCGAGAATGTCAAGTGGTTTCTCAACTGCGTAGACAGCCTTCTGTCCCTCATAGGATATCTCGTTTTTGGTATGAGGTCGTGCATTAGCTCTCTTTCCTTGTTTGTTCTTAATCTCTTTGATGCATTGCCAAGTACTAAATTCTTGCCTCATCAAAGGCGCCGCCAGCCAGACGCAGATGTTCTTCGTGAGTTTTTTCATCTTTGTTGAGTTGATCTGTGCCAAAATCTGCAGAGTATCTCTGTTGTTGATTTTGTTTTCTCTGCTAAGTTGGGACATGCTGATATTAAATGAGTTTTCTTCTACCTGCAATTTCAATTTTAGGTGATGGTAGCTGATTTGACTTTCATCAAACACTACATCACGTGTTATGATAATTTTTTACTTCTCAAGCTCATACACTTTGTAAGCCTTTGCAAGGTCATTAACACACCATGTTATTTTTGTCGGTTAGTGTACCTACTAACATGAGATTGGGCTTTAACGACGGGATGTAAAGTACGTCATTCAACTTTATTTATCCTTCTCTTGTCCACAAGTAACCAATTCCTATTCCTTCAATCTTGTGTTTCTCTCCTCATGTAGTGGTAACTGATTTTCTCCTATCACCCATGCTTTCAATCGATTCTACACATGGTAATTACTGAGTCCCTCTAGTATATTGGATTTGCCTACCGACAGATCTCTCCGTTCTGCCATGTTTCCGCACGGAAGCTAATCACACTTTCTCACACTATCCTGCTGCTGATCTTCTCGTAGGGCGAGGGACAGCACTCACTCTGATTTTTGAATACACTCTCTAGTGTTTCTGTGTAAAGCCCTCTAGACCTAGCTTTCCATTAGGGCTCAGATTCGCTCTGATACCATGTAAACAATGGATTTTACTTCAAGAGATGATTTCGAGTCTTAAGCCAAATGCTTATATACAAAGGATATCAGATGTACCAGTAGTAGTGGCCCTTAATACAAATTGCGGTGTGGTTAAGCGTTCATCTCCTGTAGATGGTTTACACGATATGAACTGACACTGTTCGCTGATCCTTAGATGAATATTATACAGGGGAGAAATAAAGATGAAGAAAGTCTGTACCCCGACCCAATATATAGAGGAAACATTTGAAGTGCTGGGCATCCCAACTTGAGTGTTTTGTAGCTAGTGCTTCTGGTGTTTTGCATTGAGCCTGTGTCACTGCCGACAGTAACAACATTTCGATAAGCAGATGTGATTTCTCTATTCCAGACACATTTTTCGTTATTGTGGAGGTCGTGTAACGACACTGGTGCTGCACAATCTTCAGTATCGCCTGCATCGTTTTGATTTCATACACAAGTCTTCATATCAGCAATCATGGGTGCTGGCACATCATCAATCGAATCTGTTGCTAACCAATTTCGATCGTGGATGGGCTTGTCCAATGCAGAACCGAGGTGATGCTCGACCTGCTTGCTCCCTAACAATCGTCTGACCCCCTAATTGTGCTGCCACTGCTCTTGGTGGTTTGTGTTTTGCTTTTCCCCAGTATTGACCACAAGTAGTTTGTAAGTTCAGTCGAATTGCAATTCGCCCAACCACTGCCCGGGTAGCGGGCTGGGGGATTGCACTCATGCGAATTATCTCCTTGAGTAAGTGGAACTGAGAATTGTCGATTTTGAGATTTGGCAGCTGAAATTGGTTTCTATCAGTTGAAAGAGTTGAGTTGTTTTTCGCCCTGACTCTTTAGTATTGGTGACTCGGCACGATCGCAGGAGTCCACGATTTTCAGTGCTTTTCATTCTTGTGATCTGAAAGCGAGGGTCATACACTACATTTCTAACAAATTATCATTGCTTAAATCAGGCTTGGCCAACACGCGGGTCTTCTAAAGGGAATCACTGAACCTGAAGTGAAGGAATACATCGAATATTGCTGTCACGACTTAATGCCCTTAGGGAGCGAAGAAATTGATGAACGTCTCCTGATCAGCAGAGTCCCTAATGATTGGAGTTCATGTCCTGCCCATGTTCAGAACCGCCTCATATCGAAGCATAGTTGCAAGGAATTGATCCAATTGAAGACAGACATTTTCAGAGATGTCATCGACAACGATGGATTTCACCATTTTAGAGCAGAAATCCGTCCTCGAGAGGCTGTACTGACTGCGTTGCATTTCGTCACTTTAGACGGCATCTTGGAATGCAAGGGCTATGACACAATTACAAGTACCTGGTGCACACTACCTCCATTCAACATGCTGCCTCGACTGGATGAAGACGTATTTCAAGCTCACTCAATCTGCGGTGCTGGTGGAATGCTGTGTGCAAATGTGGGAAAACTGCAGGACAAGCTTATAACGTTTAATCCTCTGGCAAGAAGTTGGAAGGAACTACCTCGTCTTAATCATCCGCGGAGTCCTGTGCTCATGCACATGATATTTAACCAAGAGGATAATTCTTACAAGGTCATCGTTGCCGGAAGCTCCAGATTAGACGAAGGACATCTTTCAAAAATAACGGAGGTATTCGATTCACGCACTTGGGTTTGGAAAGTTACAGGGGATTTGCCGGGACCCCAATTCGGTCTAAATGATTATCAAACGGGTGTTTATTCAGACGGTATTTTGTATTGTATTGCTTTTCTAGGGGATGGGGAGGGAAAAGGTATTATTGCGTATAATATCGAAGAGGAAAAATGGTTGGTAGATCGCACATGTTTACTCCCAAACTATAATAGCTCAAATATTATGCAATTAGTGGAGAGCAAAGGACAGGTATACTTGTTCTCTGAGCTCGAGCGTCACGATGACGAACAAGATGATCCTTGCATCGTGCATCGTGTTGAGCATCGTATCGATGTTCTGATTCCAGAAGAAATGAACTTGCACTCTAGAAAAGCATGGAGGAACGTCATAACGGACACGAAGGTAGGGTATGTAGGACTTCAATTGTATCCTGAGTACACTTGCGTTCCTCTAGGGGAGGGAAAATTGTGTGTTTTCAATTCAATTGAGCATGTCGGCATTGTTTATGATATAGAAAATGAAAAGCGTTGTGAATCAACCTTGCAACCTCCAACTCGCTTTGGAAGTGAAGACATGGTATTCTACAGCTTGAACCCTCTTACCTTCAATTTCGAGCCAAGCTTCAAAACCAATCCATAGCTTCTAACATTATTCTTCTACTATATGCCTATCTTCAATCATCTGGAACTTTTCCTGCAGTTCTCTTGGTCAATTTTGAACTTATTAAGAATTTCGGTAACTTCAAGATCAAGAACAGAGCAACGAAAACCTTATGGAAGATCGTCAAAATTGAAAGTGAATGAGAATTATATCTAGCCATTGCTGATACAAAACAAAATATTACGATTAGTTAAGAGGCAGCACAGTGGAGATATTCCGCTTTAGTCTCCTCACTAGATTCATGTCGACGTGAAAGAATTACTTTGATGTAGCGCGTGAGCCCAATTTAAAAAGGAGCCATATGCTTTGAGCCCAGGAGCGTAAAGTCTAGTATATATGAACAGTAATTTCAAAGGAATTTAACGATTGTCCAGTATTCACTGTAATGACAGGTGCCATTTCCTCCAGGAATCATGACCAATATCGTGTTCGCCGTCGTCGCAATGACCCAGCCGCTTTCTGATGCTACAGATAGTAATAGCCCGCCCATTTAGGGTCTTTGTTTGTCAAGCATGAACTCAAATATCACACGCCTAGGTGTTTGCAGCTGGTGCAATTTGATTTTACGGCAATTGCAGGACGACGTGAGTCATGTTCTTCTTACCGATTCCTGAACTTACTTCTGTTGGACACTTGTGTGAAGTGCGTCACCAAAAACGATTTCCACATGTTTAAGCTCATACCCACTAGTCAAAGGAACAGACAACACACACTCATCTGGTTTGCTCTGCTTGGCTATGCTTTTTTTTTCACACGCAAAGTAGGAACAGCAGGCGGCAAACCTGGGAAATGAGTTGAAGAATTAATTTTTGTTACTCAAAACTGTCAGGTGAAAAAGGCAGAATAAAAGATTAGGTTTTTGAACTCAGTTATCTTCAATTCATCTGCATATCAATTGGTATGTGATAACGTATATAAATCTAAACCAAATACAAAGTAAATAGAAATAAGCTATAAAGATTTAATAAAATAAAAAACACAGTGAAACAGACAGAACTGTTGACGTGGTGGGTGAACTACACCAAATTCCATCCTCCAGGCATTATTCTGTTCTCATCATTAATTGCCGCCAATAAAAAAGGGTCTGGTGTGTCACATCGTCACATGGAAGGCACTAATAATTATTAAAACAAGTACACTTAGCCTATAGTCAAAAATGTACAACTACTCAACTTCTTCAAAATTTCCTTAGATACCGACACAATGCAAGATTGGTCTGCAGATTTTAAATCCTTTGACACCAAATCTACTCACCACAAAGTCAAAGTACCAACCGGGATCACCTTCGAAAAAGCTCTTAAATGAATTGATGGCAATGGGTTTTCTCTAAACCAAACAATTAAGAACCTTGTTAGGATAAGATGACCATAAAGCCACAAAGACATAGCTTAGACATTGTTTTGTTTTAGAATCTAGAAATGATTAGTAATTCTCTTTTCAGGTATTAAATCCCATCACAAAAAACAAAAAACAAAAAAAAAAATATCCTAAAAAACTATAATTTTTTTCTTGACTTGGTCTGGAAAATGACGCCATAAATGAAATGAATCGACAATTGCAAAAAATTCTTTGTCATGGATCTTATAGTTAATCTCAGCTACTGAAAATTTCTTGGAATAAAAAGCTACTAGATGGAATTTTTCATCTGTTCCTATTTGTTACAATACTACATCCAAAGCAAAGTCTAATGCATCTATTTTCATAAAAAAATGGCTTAAAAAAGTCAATGGAATATAAAGTTGGTGCAAAAGTAAATTCTTTCTTTAAAACAATAAATAATGCTTTGGCTTTTTTATTCTACTCAAGTTTGTCTTTACAAGTCAAACGTATAAGTGGAGCTGCAACTTGAAAAAAGTTCTTTATAAATATTTGATAATAATTGAAAAAGCCTAAAAAGAATTGCACATTTTTTACTATTCTTGAGATCTTTGAAGCTATGATAGTTTGGATTTTCTTTGGATCCATCTTAAGACCTTCATTGGAAATAATATACCTCAAAAAATCAACTTAAGTAGTGTCAAAAATATACTTTTCCATCTTCATATATAATCATGCATTTCTTAGTTTTTGTAATACACAACAAATATAAACTTCATGCTCTTTTGTATTCTTAGAATAGATTAAAATATTGTTCAAATAATAGATGATAAGATCATCAAGAAACTCACAAAAGACATCATTTATTAGATGTTGAAAAGTAGTTGGTGCATTTGTGAGTCCAAAAGGCATGACATTATATTCAAAATGTCCATATTTCGTTAAGAAAGTAGCCTTCCATTCATCTCATTTTTTAATGCAGATGAAGTTATATGTTCTTTATAAATCTATTTTTGTATAGATCTTTGCTTAATTTAATTGAACAAGAAGTCCTAAAATCAAAAGTAGAAGATACATATTCTTGATGGTGATCTTGTTAACTCTTCAATAGTCTACACATTTGTAGAGATATCTCTTTTTTATTCATAAATAAGATAGAAGCGACACTCGGAGATTTAGAATAGCATATAAAGTTTTTAGCTAAGTTTTCATCAATGTAATATTTTAGTACAATCGACTCATTTTGTCATAGGCTATAGATTGGTCCAAATAGTGGTTGAGTTCATTCTTGAAGATCAATAGAACAATCATAAAAATGATGCTTTTGAAGAATATCTACGTTCTTTTTTTCAAAAACGTCCTAAGAATCTTAATACTGGCTAGGAATACCACTTGATATCTTTTTATCATCAACAATGGATATGGCATATATAGCAAAAGATGGCCCTTCATTTGCAGAATGCATGAAAGTTCTTACATCTACGAATAAAGATTTGGATGTACTAGACTTATAGATTTTTATTTGCCTAGCAAGACCTTGGACTAAACTATGTGAAAAATCAAGATTGCAAGAAATCTAGTCTATTTGAAGATTATATATTTTTAACCACAATAATCCTAAAATAATTAAATTAGAAGGAGATTTAATCTTATTAAATATTACTAAACTATTGTGACCACTAGTTGCTATTTCTATAGGAATAGTTTTATGTATAATATCACCTAAAAATAATAAACATCCATCTATTACTTGTACATGTACATGTTTGATTTTCTTAATTAGGAATATATCTTATTTTTTGACAAAGTCTTCATCTATAAAACACGCTGAAGCTCTTGAATCCAACAAAGCTAAGACTTTGTGATCTTTTGGTTCTAAACAAACTTCTATTATAAAATAAGGTGAGGGATCTCAAGAGAAAATAGGACATTTTCTAGATGTTGGACATGATTTGAGTCACATGGTCCCTATTGTAATTGGAGCAACTTGTTTTCCAACACATTATCTTCTTTGGCAATTGTGCTTCTCATTTTGTAATTGCGTTGTTTCTTTGGATAATATTGAGCATTATGTTTAGCTTTTCCATATTATATATATATAAATCGTTTTCATGTTGTCAACTCTTTTTTGTTCTATGAAGGATTTAAAATGTATCATATTAATTTGCATAGGTTCTAGCCTTGATAAATAACTTTTTGAAAACTTAAGAATTGTCGTCATTATTTGGTTTGTTCTTCTCCAATTATATCTTTGTTCTTGACAACTTTCAAATAATCAATTGTCACATACAATGGCTTGAGCAATAAATTGTTCCAAAGATTTTATTTTTGACATTGTCAGTAATAAGCATTTGATATTATTCTTCAACTCATATAAGAATTGATTAATAAGAACTTTGTCATTCTAGTCCACATCGTAAGCAAGGTTTTGGAATTCGACAGTATATATGGTGATTGACTATGATCCTTGCCGTAAAGATAAGAGCTTGGTCTCTGCTATAATTTCTTAATCACTTTCTCCAAATGTGGTTGTAAACACTTCTAAGAATGAATTCAAATTATAAAGGAGTTGCAAATCTTTTTTCATTAAAGGTACAAATCAAGAGAGAGCACTTCCTGATAGAAGTACTCGTATGAATTTGACTTGAGTAAATCCATTGACATATTGAAAAGGGTGCAACCTTAAATAGAGCTTGACTTGTTGCAAAAAACTTCAAAATTTTGATCTTGTTCCATTAAACTTCTGAGGAATACTAATTCTTATCCTCGTCATACTTGTAGAAGCAAAACTCTCTAGATTTGGTTGTAAAGACGATCTACTTGCTTCCTTCAATTTCACAACATTTTGTCACAAACTCTAAACTTCTCTTTAGGACATAGGTATAGTAGTTCCATGATTCACATTGGAAATACGTGAGACTTCCACTCTTAGAGTATTGACAAGTTCATGAAGATCTGCAATAGTTACAAATCTATTCTCACTTCTCTTAAGAGTAGCATTTGTAATTTTTTCTTTCATAGATAATTCAAACAAATTCAAAAAGTTAAATTAGAGGAGGATAATCTACAACCTCTAATAAAAAAAATTCTACAAAGAAAGGTAATCCATTCTCTTTAAAAAAAAGATCAATGTTAAAAAATAAGATTTTTTGTTTAAAGGTGGACAATCTGCAAGCTTGAAAATACAACAATAAAAGTAGGATAATCCATTCACTTCTAAAATTAGACAAAAATAATATGTCAAGGATACAAATGTTGAAGAAAGAAAATCTACTAGTATTCCACTCAACTTCCCTGCCCAACAAAACTAATGTCTACTTATAATCCACGCTAAGAGAACAACTGCCATAGGATCTAGGCACCTTGCTTGTTGTGAGTAGCCACAACAATATAAGGGGTTGCTATGTTAATTTCAACAATCTTTTGTGAGGTTGTTGCACAGCAACCCAGGCCAAGTGAAGTCCTTCTTCAGTAGAGCTATTCAACACAGCTGAACAGCATCAACACCATTCCGACAACCTTCAAGTTCCTTGATAGGAAGCTGCTACCTTAGATTCTATCCCCACTCTAGTTGGTGATCTTGCACTGATGTCAACTGTCTTGAATCACACATTGGCTCTACTACTAACAAAAGCTACCAGTATGGTGCTACAGCAAGCAAAGATTTTTTTTTTTTTTTTTTTTTTTTTTTCTTCTTCCCCTTTTGAGCATAAAATTTTCAGTTCAAAAGAGGATAGAAAAGAACAAAAAGTAGTGTCAAATCGACATTGGAGCCCAAATAGAAGGCTAAAAATACACAACAATGACAGAGGTAGCCACGACACAATTAATCGGCAAGCGCAGCAACACGACCAACACGATCGTCACAAAACAACAACCCGAACTGGACCGCCCCAAGAACTGCAGATTGAAAATCAACACCACCAGGAGCTGCCGATCACAACCGTAGAGAACCGCAGCACCCTATGACGACCATGCCACAACTAGCAACAAGAACATGGCACGAGGTAGGCAGAGCCGGAACCAGACGAATCCTAAATCACATCCATGAACTTGAACGACGAGTAGCTCGCCCCCCACGACTAGAATGATAAGGAAAAACTAGAAAACTTGATCTTGCTCTCACTGGTTGCAGCGACTTTGCCGCTTGCTCTTCGACCGGTTGCAACAACCTCGGACAAAGTGACAATGACCAGGTTGAGCAGCCGCAAAAATACCGCCCTCGCAGCAGCACCGCATCCGAACACGC